AGTCCGGGGCATGGAAGCAAATGTTTGCATTAGTGCACAGTCACACTCTCCCCTTTCCTAAGGACAGCTACGAACTTATTGTCCTGTTTTCTTGATGATTCAGGATTGTGGTTTCGGGCTGAGCCTCTTCCTTTCTGGGAGCCTCAGCTTTCCTATCTCTACAAAAGGGAAACTGGACTCAGGACATTAAGGCTCCTGCAGGTGACATGGATTCCTAGAGGGGTCATAGTGAGTGGGCAAAGTTGACATAAATCTCAGGTCTTGTGACTCTCATCCAGCACTCATCACAGCAAAACCTTGTGGCCACGCTGGGCTGGGTGGACAGGCAGGGATGAGAGGCAGGGGCAATGGCCTGACCTTGGGGGATGGTATTGCCATGATTCCTTTTTATGGAAATGGCTGCCAGTCTCCTTTCTGTCTGTCACTTTTCATACTAGCCCTATGGCTACCTCCCACAGGGTCCTATTTTTGATCTGCACTGGCACTTGGGACCCAAAGACCCAGCCACATTATGTGTCAAATAAGAGTAAGGAGACTCTGAGTGAGACACTCGGCTTAAGTGCTGGGATCTGGCTCAATGTTCCCAGCAGCTCAGGGACCATCTCTGCCGATTTCCTGGTTCCCAGTGGCTTTCCAGAATGGGTGAGGCTGCTGACTATGTGACTCCAGATAAGCGAGAGCGTTTCACATCATATCCTGGCTGGCTCTGTGTTTGGCTCGCTCTGTGGGCCTTTTGTGGACCACGCAAACTGGCATCTGTCCCAACTTCCAGAGCCAGGTTGAAAGCAGCACTTTTCTGTGGCTTTCCTGTGGCTTTCCAAGTTCCACTGGCCAGGTGTCTGTGGTGAGCCAGGCACTGGGTTGGCTGCGTGGCCAGAGCGTCACCCAGCAACTCTCAGCAGGTGCCAGGGAAACCCAGGCCTCCAGCTTTCTCTTTCCCCTGCCAGTTCTCGTGAGCTCTATCTCCACAGAAAATGTGAACATCCCTGAATGGGGTCCAAGCACAGGGAATTCCATTGGAGCTGAAGTTCCATTGTCGGCTTCCACCACAGCCTCTGGGGACTTACCCCAGGCCTGGCCACACTCAATTCTTGGCATCTACAGGTCCTAGGTCAGCCATCTGGGAGCCTCAACCCAGTCACCTTCCTGGCCTGGGAGTCAGACCTGGGGAAATTCTGGCTCCTACAGAAGCTCCAAACAGCTCCACCCTCAGTGAGCTCTCCTTGCAGACTTCCTCGTCTCTACGGCACAAATCCTACTTCACTTGAATGGAAAAAAGGAGGGAGTAAGGGGATAGTCAGTGGAATGAAGCTGAGCCCCAGTTCCTTGAGTGGGTGTGATTTTTGCAGCTTCCTAAGCAATGGTGGGACCTGGACCTCAGTTGCTCCATCTGTAGAGTGGGGCTAAAGTCCAGCCTCAGCCATAGTTGTCCCTGAACAGACAGGAAGAACCACCATGCTCTGGCCAAGGAGGGCCAAGCCAAAGCAGGGCAGGTGGAGGAGGCCTTCCTTCACCCCCTGTCCCTGTGACCCTCACTCTGCTGGGAGCTGGGGTACTCAGTTCCCTGGGGTACTCAGTTCCTTGGGGTTTTCCCTCCAGCACCCAGATCTCAAATAACATTAGGTTTAGGGGAACTCAGGCTCCATCAGGATGGGCTCTGCTATGATCTTCCAGAACTCTATTTTGTGGGCCCTTTAAAATATATATATATAATTTGCTACGGGGCATGCATGTATGCGCATCAGAGAAAGAGAGTGAGAGCGAGAAATCACTCCAGGAGGGATGGCCGTGCTGTAATCCCTTCTCCATTCTCCTTTCAGGATTTTGAGCAGGCGCACACATACCCGGTGTGTTTTCTAAGCTACTAGGTCCAGGACTCAAACTCGGTCATGGGGAATCTGGCTACCTTAACCACCATGTCACCAGCTGGTCCTGTGGGTTCCTTTTCCCCAACCTGGACCCCATTTATCATTCCTCCTCCATGAACCCTCTTGGGAAAAGTTTTTGCCAATCAAACACACTGCAAGTACTGTCCAATAATTAGCCTTTTTCATTTCATGCCAATCCTAGATACAGAACTCCTGTCAACTAGATGCTCTGAGTAGCCCCATGAATTGCTTCCTAGAGTCATAGGGTACAGTAGTCCCCCTTACCTGTGGTTTCAGCTGCCACAGTCAACCCCTATCCAAATATATGAGGAGTCTTCAGAAAGTTCTTGGAAAACACACACTGTGAAAAAAGTACTTGGATTTCAAAATTTATTTACATCCAAATAATTTTTTTTTTGGAGAGGTTTTTGCTATAGGACACGTGTGCTCGCCAGAAAGACAGACAGAGAGACAGAGAGACAGAAAGCGAGAAATCAGCCCCCAGGGGGATGGCCACACTGCAATCCCTTCTCCATTCTCCTCTTGGGATCTTGGGCACACACGCACACGCGCCCAGCGTCAGTTTAAGTTGCTGGGTCCAGGACTTGAACCACAGTCAACTACATGGGAGTCCAGCGACATAGCCATTATGTCAACTGCTGATTCCCCCCAAATAAATTTTAAATCCCATTTTCTTTTCATTTTAATCCCATTTTACTTAAATCCCATTTCTTAAGAACTTTTGAAGTTCCCTCATAGGTGAGTATAGTACAATAAGATATTTTGAAAGAGAGAAACCACATTCACATAATTTTATTATGGCATATCATTATAACTATTCAATTGGTTTGTCGGAAGTCATAATGTATTTATCTGTTTTTCTATGCAAACTGTGTCATGACTTTTCTGACAATCTAATATTATTAGTTATTGTTGTTCATCTCTTACTGCACTTAATTTATAAAGAAAACCTTATCAAAAGTATATATGAATAGGAAAAAACAGCACATATATGGCTTGGCACTATCCATTTTCAGGCAGCCACTTGGGGGTCTCCATAAATAAAGACCATATCACAAACCAAGTAACTTTAAACAATAGAAATGAATTGTCTCACAGTTCTAGAGGCCAGAAACCCAAAATCTAGGCAGGACTGGTTCACTCTGGAGGCTGTGGGAGAAATGGTTCTTGCCTTCTCTTCCAGGCTCTAGCAGCTCCAGCAATCCTTGGCATTCTTTGGCTTATAGACGCATCATTCTAGTCTCTGCCTCAGTTTTCACACGGCATTCTTCCCTCTGTGTCTCTGTATCTTTGATTTCTCTCTGCTATGAGGCCACTGTCATGAATTAGGACCTAATCCAGTATGACCTCATCTTAACTTGATGACAATTGCAAAAACCCTATTTCCAAAGAAGGTCACAGTCACAGGTACCAAAGGTTAGGAACTGGGGAGAATGGAATTCAATCCATGACACTGAGTTATCTCACATAATGAGGAAGGGTCAGGGTTTCTGGTCTGGTCAGAAGAAAATGCACAATATTTGTGGCTTCTGGAAATACGGAAAGGAATCATGACCCCATGCTTCCATGTGTGTATCCTGGTGGGGCTGCCAGGCTATGCTGGGGCATTGAATAGGGCAAAATAGGGGTCTGCCTGTGGTTATAGGAGCTGCTGCTAATACCAGGGACTAGCAACCATCCCTGCCCATGAGGGCAGTGAATGCTACTGACCAGGCACTGTCCTACTCATCTGTGGAGTTAGGCATCGTGGAACCTCAGGGGGTAGGGTGAGGTGCAGAGCTGATACCTTCAGTATGGAGATGAGCAGGCAGGCAAGCTACTGAAGCCATCAAGTCAGGAGGAGGCGTCCTGCCTATCCTACCCGTATATAGCAAGTAATCGCCAGGTGCCAAGGAAGAGGATTTACCTGTCTGAGTTCCAACCCACCCCTGAAAGTGGCCTTGGTCTTAGGAGTGTGTAGTGGGGAGCCTTTTTTCTGCCCAGAGCTCCCAGCAGTCTTGGAGCCACTGGAGAAAAGGGCACCTGAACCAGTGTCCCCCAAGCTCCTGGCTTTGTGGACTTTAGAAATTAAGAATGTGACCTCCCTCCTGCTCTGGCCATTAATCCTAATTGCATGGTGTCCCCAAAATATCCAGAAGGTATAAACCCAGCTTTGCAAAGGCCTCTTGCCCTGAGCCTTATCAGGAAAAAAGGGAGTCAGGACAATCAAAGAGCTGAAAGAGAGGGCCTCTATGAAGCCACTGCCCATAGCTATCTGTGCCTGCAGAGAGCCCAGCCTAGCCTGCCAGGAAAGGCCTGTCAGCCCACAGAGCTGGCTTAGCCAGGCACAGCAGATGGTAGAGCCCAGGTGTAGAAATCTGTTTCTGAGAACACATTGGGTCCAGAGTGGGGATGAGGCAGAGCTATGAGGCTGCCCTAAAGTGAGGAGGGAGGGATGCCCCAGTCCAAGTGAATGGCTCACTGTGTCATCCTTTTCTGTCTGGCAGCTCCCAGAGAAGACACAGATCCAAAGACATCCCACTCGGAAGTGCAGCTCCAAAGTGCACATATGCCTCTCTTGCCAGTTGCTTAAATTCCAGGCCTCAGGAAGCCAGGACTTGGCACTATCTTTGTCTTAGTCTTGACAAAAAACACATCTTTCCAAAAAGGGAAGGCCAGGTGAGAGAGAATTGAATGTACCTACCCCTTATGTACACTCATTTGTAGTATGTGCAGGCCCTGTACCTGTGTTATACCCTTTCACAGATGAGGACGCTAGTGCACAAAGAGGTTACGTAACTTGCCCAAGATCACAATACGTGACCAAACGAGGTTCTGAATCCACATTATGCCCATCTTACAAACAGGCCACTGGATCCCTTGCTGGGCACTGTGGGTTGCTGGGAGTGGGGAGGACCCTCTAGACCGGCCAGACCCTAGCATTAAATGTGCAATAAACTTGAAATGGTCGAACCAACAAGCGAGCGCATATACAACCAAGATTCCAACCTCCAAACCCACAAGGAGAGAATGGACACGGTCCCCACGGTTCAGAGTCCTCCCTTTCCTTCCTCTACAGGCGCCCCTCCGAGAGAAGGGGTGGGCGGGGCCTCCGCTGACCACCCAATCACAATGCAGGAGAAGAGCCGGCAGGCGGAGCGTGAGAAGGGACGGGGCCACTGGTTAATGAAAGGGCTGGCCCTTGAGGGGGAAGGGCCAGCAGGCAAGAAGACCAATGGAGATGCAGGGTCGGGAAGCGGGGACAAGTTGAGGGGGGGATAGAAGGCGGTGGACCAATGGAGATTCGGGGCGGAGCCTGAGGGCGGGGAAATTGGGGGCGGGCTGGCAGGCCAATGGTGGTTCAGGGGAGGAGCCGG